CAGGGACCCCCTCCATACCATACAGAACCCCCCACCAACAACAAGCAATGGCACCGGTGGAGTCGTTATCACCTCCGTGCAGTACGCCGCGAAGACACATCTCCTTCCAGGAATCTCCTGCTCCTAGCAAAGCATCGTATCTGAATCACAGAATGAGATTAGAATTCAAAGATTTCCACATGTACTTATTACATAAACAAAAACACTGGTTCAAAATGTGAACTAACAGAAAACAAATTATTTAATTTACATTATATAAACCCAGGTCATTAATTACACAGGTAGAACTCCAGATCCTTATTTTCGTATTACATACATGTGCAAAAGCAAAACAAAAGAAAAATATAAAACTTTTAAGAGCAGAACCATGTGGCCTATTGGACACCTTAATGCTGACAAGGTCTTTACTATGTTATGAGCCACAAGTTGAACCATGAGAGGGAACTATTCCTTAGCAACGGAGGCTCCTTTGGTCGGAACTGAACTTTGCTGGTTCACAAAAGACTAGGAAATGCACGCATCATGTTTGCGTCACTACTGGCAAAATGAACACTACCGACCAAAGCAGCTCTTTTCAACCAATGAGGGGGTGCTTCAGCTCGAGACAGAAAACAGGGACCTTGTATTATCAGTACTGGAATACAAGGAATTCAAAGATTTAGGAGCTAAAAACCTTCCTCATTAGAAGCAGGATGTTGCAGTAATAGTGCTCTTATTCATAGATTTGGACTCTCTTTAACTGCTTTTTGGAGGTATTTTCCTGGGTTTATTTCAGTATACCGTTGATTGTTAGTCTTCAAACTTTGCAGAAAATGAACAGGACGGCACATGCAAAAAAGCACAAAAAAATCCACGAAAAGTTAATTGTTTACTAAATGACAGAATTCTTTCATAACTTGTCTATTATTGAATGTAACTTAAGAGGTAAATATTAACTTCGGACATTTGAGTTTCAGCATAGAAGTTAACGTCACACTGGCTGCAAGAACCCTAGCTGAGAAGGTGAATCAGCCACAAAATCTGTGGCAATTTGAGATGCTACCGATCAACTCACGCGATCATAGGGGCATCGTGGCCGCTAGCTCCTCCCCAACCAGCATAGCTGACCGACTTGTAGAACTCATCTCTCTCTTTGACGCCATACTGCTCGGGGAATTTGGGATCGCTGTTGCCGTCGGTCAGACCACGCAGCTTCAGGAAGCTCTTCCATTGCGCCTCAAAGTAATTCCTGCAATATGCACAGTAAACAAAAAATAGTAATTCAAATCCCCAAAGTAACAAATCTATATACCAGGCAAGATATGGGACGGAGGGGTAACCCCCCTTACCTGTCCAATCCTTTACCTAACACGTCCCCCGGTTACCTAACACGTCCCCCCTAGAAGTCTATAAAAAATTCCTGAGATTCCGATCAAACAATGACCAACACAAAGGCGGGGGGGTTCTCTCCGTCCCATATCTTGCTTCAAATGCAAATCTAACATTTGAGTGTGGTTTCATGTTGTACCTAGATCATTATAAACAGCTGTACATCCCTACAATACATTACGTGCCAAAACAGGAGTTCTCTTCCACGGTATATAGAAGATCCACTCCACTGTGATAGCAAATATTTCTATTTCTGAACTTGTAAGCCACACGAGGAGTTATTCAGGTGAGAATTTATTCAGGCAATGCAGAAATTTTCTAAGGATTCATTCAAGCATTGTACAAAATAACGTAACATTTTTCAGTGGGAAGAATTTTGTTCAGTGATGGAAGCTAGTGCTCCGCTGCACTAGGCAAAGATAGGCGGAACATTAACACTTAACCTGTCAATTCAAGAAATAACTCCTACCGTTCCTCTCAAAATCTGCTATTTCTATTTTATCCCAGGGTGCAGAACTGGGTGAGACTTATGTTGGACTTAACAAGTAAAGAATCCAATCAAGTCAACATGCTAACGAGGTAGAGCCACTGACAAATTGCTTACCATTTCTCCTTGTTTTCTGGCACGTCCCGGCCCACTGACTCGACGTACTCCCTCGCTTTGGGGAGGGTAGCCATTAGGCCTGCTCCCCACTCCCGCACTTTTGAAGGAAATAACAATAGCAGACATATTGGTTAAGCATCCAATTGGCTCTATCTTACAACTGTTTCAAGAAACTCTGTCTGTACAGCCGTTATTTGACGAGGGTTACTTTTATCCCAGGTTAAGTCTGGAAGGGACAAAGGCATTGGAGATCATTGAAAAGCTACGCACGATTGATGCTTCCAATAACTGACGAATGTCGAATACTTTGGCCAGCCTGACCACAAAGCGTACAGAACCTTAACTTGTGTTTACTATACTTGAGTATGCAAAGGTAGTTCACAATCACAATTGAAACACTAAAGATGAGTCAGGTTGGTGTCGTGGTTCTTTCCTCGCCTTCCGCCTCTGCGGCCCGGGTTTGAATCCCAGCCCCATTCCACATCTGGACTGGGTTTTCAGTCCCTACTTGATTCTGTGGATTTCACCCAGAATATTCCTCTGGGGTTTTCCTCCCACCTCTAGAATTGTTACTGCTTCTCGCCATCTCCTCTCTACAGGTTTCTTCAGGCTTTGTAAGATACAGCGCCTAGGGCACTTCTGAGGGGTCCCTGGCGTCATTACCAGAAATGATTAATAATAACAATAATAATAAATACTTACTTCAGAGTCCTGATGCAACGATACTCAGTACAATTTTGTACATATTTATTTGTTTGGGGCTCTACATTTTTGTCTGATCACCCTGTATTAAAGTTGGACCATCCTTTGGGTGAAAACAACAAACCCATTTAATTTGTTTAATTTTTACAACCCATGAAAGTGGGTTGAGTCTAGCCCAGGCAAGATCTTTTTTTCAGATTTTGATATTTCAAGAGCTTGAGCAGCACAATGTGTAGCTGTACACAGATGTACACTTCCTATGCAAGCATTTAATAGTACACAGCGCTCAATTTAAGAAAAAAAACTCAAATGCAAGACTGTAGAATCAACTCACCCAGTTTCCCCTGCACTGCCTAGGATGTGAACAGCGCACCGGCCAAACTTCCCAGGTACCCTGTGGGATGGTTGTGCGTCATGCGGCCGCTCTCCACAGCAACCGCCACCAGGTCAGAGAGCTGCTCCGGCCGGGGATACCTCAGGCCGATGCACATAGACCGCATGGCAGCCCCACAACCCCCTGCCCTGAATATAAATAAAGGAATTTAATATGCATATTAGTTGAATATATCAATAAATAAGCAGATCAGAAAAAAAGTTTTCACACTTACCTGTTGTTGAATGGAATCACGTATCCCCCAGCCTGGTGTGGTTTTAAGAGATGAATTGCATTTAATGTTGTTCCACCTGAAGAATGAGACATGCGAGTCAACCATCAACAATTCTCCAAGAGCTTCAGCTGACTGGTACTTGCACTTAACTTTCTGTCCCTTTCTGCCGGCAGAGGCTTAGTTACAGAGCGTAGACTATGTGCCCACATTTCTGCTTCATGAGAGGCGGAGCCAGAAAATTAAGGCCCAGGATGTCAGAATAAAGCAGATTCATAGGCTGATTTACACTGAACTGAAAACCGCTAAGCAGAGGCCTGAAGAATTTGAATGTCTACCTGGAGCTCGGCCACTCATGTCTTTGCTTCCCTCGATGTAGCGTGCAGCCAATTCTAAAAATAGCTCCTCTCCCACAGGTTTGTTGGTAGCAAGTGCTACAAGATCAGGTTAACGGAAGTAAACAAAAGAGTCAAAGCTCATGACCAATATGCAAAATTCAAATAAGTTGTTGCAATTTTTCAACTTAGACTAATCGAATCAACACAACTTCCTCTACACTGAAGTAAAACTGAGGTGTAAATCACTGAGTAAGAACAACTTTTCCCAAATCTATCCCAAGACTGCCCCCAGGCCTCCCCAATTTGAACAAGACAAAATAAAGCATTCTTAACCCTAACACTCCCAAATCCTCCAATTTCAATATGATTTTACATACACCCTAGGGGGTTAGGGTTTAGATCCCCACACCACAGACTGAGAACCAGTGAGAGTCTCTCTGCAAACTGGACCCACTTAACACCAGTATGTAGAGGGTAATCACTGTTGCTCTTCCATAGCCTTCAAAATCCACAAGGATGTTTTGGAGGATTTTGCAGGATGGTGGAAGGTGGTACCCAATCACTGTAATCACCAGACAATTCAGATAAAATACAGACTCCGTGTTTTCTTCCACACAGTGATGGATTTTGTGGGATTCAGGTGATTCCATTCATAAACATAGTCAAAAGTTGAACATCTTGAAAGAATTTATGGAAAGATGAAACGTGCTTACCCTGCGCAGTTGCAATGTGCAAGACTGTATCATCGCTGACTGGCCATCCAGGCACTGCACAGCAAGACAGAGAAAGATTGCTTCTGATTGAGAAACTTTTTTAATGATGTTCATGCTTTCTGGCCACATATGGACACCATCCTCCTGAGACAATTATCTGGACCCATCAGCCAAAGGTAATATCTGGAGCTCAAGGATTTGAAATGTACTTCCGAAGCTTTTCTTAAAATGTACTGAACATACACGTAGATGACAGTACACCAAAGGTACAAACTATGACTTTTTGTCACTCTAGTCTGCATTTTGGGAAATGTTAAGAGCCTTGAGGAAATAAAATACAAACACGTAATAATTTCTCTAAACATTGATGTTCACATCTTCTTTGTAAAAGGGAATATTCAGAAGGGACAGATTTTGATTTATTATTACTCACAAGAAATTTTCAATTGTGGGAGTCCACCGAACTTCTTGAGATCTTTGTGGATGTCTTCGCCGACGAAGGAAAATTCCCACTTGCCGGAGCGGTAGCCCATTGCATCACCCACTCCACTGAGCACCATGGCTGCCTTGTAACGAGATGCAAGCATTTTGTGCAGGATTGACTCCTGACAGTTTGTCAGACTGCATGTGCAGGTGTGGTTATTCTTAGCTTTCAAACCTGTGAGAGAACTGTGCACAAAAAAATTCATAAATCTGCAGCGTTGCAGTCAAGTCCATCACAGGACCAGCAATACGTGCTTTCACAGGACTGGGCATGAGAAAAAAGAAAGAATGCAAATAATCAAAAGGGGTTAGAATTTGACACGTATTGGTGATATGAGCTCATCTCAAGGCTTAAGACTGGCTTTGGAATGGAGGAGAAAAATATGAAGAACAGTACAACTTTGAGGAACAACCTGAAAGAGTTCAATATGCAAACGTCACTTGACACCCCATGCATAAACCCTTCGAAACTGGTCTGAAAAACATTTTCTAAGTAATTGGTATTTTAGTCCTACATGTAAACTGAACTTTTCTGAACATGTTTTTGCTTTCTGATGGGACTGGGGTCCGTATATGGAATTCTTTCTGAACAACCCAATCAGACCAATGAGAATATGGTTAAAGATCAATGGGGGACGGGGCTTTGAAATCCGACGCAAGAAGCGCTGTTTTTGTTTTTTAAAACGGCGCCGCCCATGGTCAGCATAGAAATATCACAGGCCCCGTTTTCAAGGCACCATCCGTTGGAAAATATACGGTTTTGGAAAGCTTTAGGGTGCTCATATGAAAGTCCAAACTCTGAGGAATATGCCGGTGTAAGTAAAATTGTTGAGTCATTCTCATTTCGGAAGATATTAGGAGTCAAAGTTTGTGACAATCCTGCAGTTTGGATTTCAGGCATTTAAGACATGCCTTGAAGTAGGGCTGTGGTGGCGACAGATAAGAGACAGATAGGGGTACGCCATACCCTCCTCCACAAATACACCCCCACACAATGCACACTCTAGCTCTACTAAGCAGGTTGGGGACCAAACCACAAACTAGTGATGATGCCAGACTATGCATGCGCCACTCGTGATGATGACGTAATTTTTAAACTATTATTAGATCACAGTTCGCAGATAACATCGATCTCTTTATCGGCCAGAAACTTCAAAACAAATTCCTCTGATTGATCAATTTTACAGGAAGCATTCTACCCAAGATCTAAATGAAACTTTCCTTTCATTTGGTATCTATAAAAGCGGATCGAGGAGATTTTTTGGTCAAATCTTGCACTGGATGTGTCGAGTTCGGTGGGCAGGCGAGTCCAACTGAAAACATTTACGCAAAAAAAATGAAGCTTTGCCGGAGTTTACTTTATGCATGAAAATGTTGCCATTATAAATCTCCATCGATTCATCGAGGCAGATTTTATGTTTACCGTGGCGATTTTCCAAAATAGCGATCGAAAACAATTTTGACATAGACTCCAACAGTCACGGCAACGGTGGCCATGTTTTCTGCCGGCAATTCAAATCTCGTTATTTTCTCAAAATCGTGGGGGAAAATTACATCATTATCACGTGACCTGATGAAAATGACGTCATTGCCACTTGAACTGGCGACATAAGCAGGAACTAGGGAAGTCGCTAGATTGTGGTTTGGTATGTTTGGTCCCCGACCTGCTAAGTGGAGCGTTAGTATTGCTCTTTTTCGATTTTGGACGAGATTGGCGGTCAGTATGACCATGGAGGTAGAATTCTACCTCCATGGTATGACGATCCCGTCTACAATCGAAAAAGAGGAATACTAACGCCCCACTTTAATAGCAGAATTACCCACACACCATGTAAAGTAGGGAGGTCATGACCCATGCCATAACTCCCTGCAGAAGTGAACGTCGCAAAAAGTCTTTTAGGAATTAGGCCTACGCCTACCTCTTTCGCTGAATGTGGTCTCAATCACACTCGATTTCTCCACAGCTTGTAGAATGTAATATGTTGAATGTACGTGTATCTGTACGATAACTAGGCCTACAAGCAACTATTCAAGATGTGGCACACGTTTTTATGCACGTTGACGTGCAAACCTACAGCTACTTTAAAGTTGGGCGGCGGCGGCATGGATCTCATTTCCTGAATTCCCCGATCTCTGTCGATGGAGGGCGCACTAATTTCAGCAACTTTTAAAGTTCGTGTACGTACACATGTATGTGTACGTACATGTACGTGCACGTGTACGTGTTGCGTTGGCCACATGCACACTGCATGCAGTACACGTCTGCGGTGTTACTCCGTCATTAAACGTTTCCATCTGTTGTCACGTCACACACTTCGCTAGCACACAAACCTACTGTAGTCTTGCTCCCAGCTGAAACCCCTGACTACAGTGGCGTCAATCTGTGTTGGAAATTGAGGGGAAAGGTGAGCCATGCAGGGATGTTGAAAGGGGGGGACGCCATGTACATTATATTTATAGGGGTAGTGTTCGTGATAAAAATGGTAATATCAAATTCATGCAGAATCTTAATCAGAATAGCAAATTTATGGCTTTTTATATTTAAATTTTTTAATTTTAGTGATATTGCAACATTTTAGGCCTAGTTGTTGGGAAATTCTACAATTCTTCACAATCCGCTTTAATATTTTTTATGATTGTAGGTCAACTCGCCCCCTGGCCGACTCACCCCTTACCAACTCGCCCCCTGGCCGACTCGTCCCTTGCCAACTCGCCCCCTAGCCAACTTGCCCCCTGGCCAACTCGCCCCCCCCCCTAAGTTTGCCAAGCATGTATGGCCAGCCCATTCACCATTTAATAAAAAAACATGATCAGTTGGAGATGGAATCGGTGATTGCTGCCCGTAAAAATAGGTTCTGGGGTGTGTAGCGGGCACTCAAAGTTGAGAATTATGAAAGTTAAACTTTTTAAAGCTTGGTGGATGTTTATTTTCTGTGGAATTTGGGGTAAAATTTTTTTTTTGAATATTGGTAAAACTAATTCAGTATTATCGTGTGTATGGGCCATCTGCCCAGCTGCATCCCTTCTGCGGACCTTAGTCACATACCCAAATATTAATGGGACGGAGGGTTCGAAGTTGTTGAACCTGAGGGTATGTTTGATGTACAAATAACCTAATCAGACAGTGGACGTGGGAAGCGCTAAGATGTTTGAATAAATAAGTGATTAGTGGTGATGTCCAAATATTCATCACCGTCCTTGGGTCATTCTTGTCGCGTCGTTGGTTAGAACCATTCGGGTTTTTTTTACACATTGCGCCGGCCATACTTGCTTGACTTTCCTAGGGGGGGTCGGTCAGGGGGCGAGTTGACCTGACGACTTTTTTATGTGTCATTGCAGACTTCTGCTTGTAATCCAATTAAGGCATTAAAAGGATCCCAGAGCAATGGTAGGATCACCAAGCCCACTTGAAAAAATTGTTGCCATTTAGAGGGACATTGTACTTATTTTGTCCTTAAATAAAGGGACTTCTCCAAATACACGGACAGTCTCTGAGTTGTGATTTACGCCTGTACTGAAATATCATCCATTGGAAAGCAATAACATGCTCTAAAAGGTCAAATTTAACAGGGACAGAATGGAAGGTTTTACTTAAAAATTTGTTTTCCAGACCAGTCTTATACTGGGGTTGTGCAGAGGGTGTCAAGTGATGTCATTGTATGAAACTCTTTCCCCTTAGACTGTATTTAAAATCCGAGCATGAAACCTCATCCTTTCCCTTGGCTACACGGTCCAAATAAAAAATAAGAATTTGCCTCTTTTGACATTTTGTCATGATCCTGCGATAGCAGATCATGACCAAATGTTTTAAACCCTGGTGTGAGCGGCGCGGTGATAGAGATCAACATATATCACCAATGTGGTCATAACTTTTTTTTTCAATGGTCTTTACCTGTGCTTGATAGGGCTTTTAAGTGTTGTCTAGCCCCGATGTTGGAGAGTGTACACCCCATTTACCCTCTAGTTTAAAACTGAGAGTCTGTGTCTCTTTGTGGTTTATTCATGAACCTTTTTTCTTTTCAAAATTCTTTCACACAAGATGTGGCATGGCTCGATAGCTCTTTACAGGCAAGCATTTAGACCCAATGGCAGATTTCCTTACGTTAGTTGCTGCTTACATGGTGTTCTTCACGTTGGCAAGCTACATCATTCTGTGTGGGGATAGTGAATTTCACCGCCATGGCGTTGTAGGGAAGTTACGAAGGGGACTTGTACAGGTAACAGTAGAGCAGCTGTGCTTTTTCTACATTTTTGTAACCTCTTCACGCTTAATGAGATGTGATAAAAGTGTATACGTGTAATGTTGAGTAACAGTTTACTGTTTTAATTTCTTTGTTTGTAGATTATAGCATTCCTATTTTACCGCTGTTTTCCTCGGCGTTTGCAGGATCTTATTGGTGACGTCATCACATACATCTTTTATAAAAGGTAAAAAGTTGTTCACCGCCATTAGTCATCACCAGAATGTCTTTTTTAGTAGAAGGGATTCATAACGCATCATGTTGGTCGTGTTTCCTCGAAGAGGCCACTTTCCAACTTCTCTGTAACTTCTTGTACGTTATGTTGTCATGAATTGTCCCAAGATTCAACTTCAAAATATTTAGAAAAGTACAAGGGGCTGAAACCTGTCCCAGTGCAAGGTGATTACTATTTTTTGATACTTGTCTCTAAACTTCCAAAGAGATGAATAAAGGTTTGTGGTAGCACCATGCCAAAATATCTTGTTTTTGGTTAGTCTGCAGTTACTCAGAACCGTAACCACACATCTCACAAAAGAGGTATCTTTATATGATGTTATGTAAACCTTTTACTTAACCTGCTACCTTCACCACAAAAAACTTTGAAGCTCTTCTTCCAAAGTGATGACAACTTTTTGGTGGTGTCAGTATTGCCTGTTTTTATAAGTGAAAGTAGAAACTGTTGAGTAGTCTCTAGTTTTTAAGTCTTACGCTGAATA